CGGACGTGCATTATCCTGTTGGAAGTGCTGAAGTTCTGGGTGAGCTCGAAACATCGGAACAACAACTGGTTGCAAGACATCATCACGGTAGACTACAGCATTAGCACGACCCCTGCAAATGTGTAGGGCGGTCCGGTGATGAAATGTGAAGCCTCCCCATACCATTACACTTCCCCACCCCATCGATTCGTTTCGTAGACGCAGCAGTCTGCAAGACGTTCCCCAAGACGTCTCCACACACGTTGACGGCCATCAGCGTGATAAAGATGAAAGCGACTCTCATCACTGAAGAGCACACTTTGCCAGTGTACTCTTCTCCATGTCTGGTGTCCTTGAGCCCATATCAAACGCCGCTGACAGTGATGATCCCTGAGGATAGCTCCAACATAAGGTCGTCGTGCACGGAGTCCTACTTCTCTTAGACGACGTCTTTCGGTGTTTGGACTTACTGGTCCTTGTCTTCCGACGACTGCAGCACCTGTTCGAGTCGCTGGGCGGAATCTGTCACGCAGATGATTGACCCGCATGTAGCGGTCTTGAGCCTGGGTTGTAATGCGTTGTGGACCAGGACGTTGACGGTCACGTGTTGATCCAGTAACTCGAACACGTTCCACCAACCTTACAATAGTGGACTGATGACAATTGAAGTGTCTGGCAATAGCACGTGTAGACATGCCAGCCCGGGACATTCCCATGGCTTCATTCCGTTGATTTTCAGTAAGTCTCGGCATCTCTAGCTCGATTCCTTCACACGTCCAACAACAAATTACGACAGACTGACGTTTCACAGTTCATGTACTGCACATTAAGTTGAAAACATGCTTTTAAAGGGCTCACACACAATGCTGCACGTGAATATTGGGTTTTTCATGTGCATCTCGTGCAATTTTTTTTGTGTGCACACGGGCCGATATTTTTTGCGTTTGGGAGCATTGTGTGAAACAATAGTTCATATTATTGCATAATATTATACATACAAAACCACCTAGTAATAAAATATTTGGGAAAAAAAGTGATGCATTTTCCATGGCGCTTAGTATATATTCCAAATTAAGAATATTTAGTGCAGATGGTGGGAATCTGGCATAAATGTGACAGACAGGATATAGCACCTAGTCGTTTGGATGAGACGAAAATAGAATTTATGTTCTTGACGAATGTGTCAAAGCCTCTTTAATAGGAACGATTGCACATAGAGTTTTCCAAAAGGAGTATAATGGTTTATATAACAGTGACTTTGCACTGTTTTGCTATGTACACACCTTTCTCGAATAATAAATACACGCTCTGGTGGATTGTGTCATTCAATAAATTTATTTACTTTATTTATAGACGGCTTACAAGAAAAATGTTATTGCGCAACATGACTGTTAACCGGACAGGCTATGGCTGATAACTTAAGTTTACGAAGGTAAGATTTATTGAAAGTAAATAAAACTTTATATGCGAAATCAAACCAGATTAAAGATGGCGAGGTCTGGACTGGCTTACTACATGTATAGTTTCAGCCAAGTAAGCCGCATGACATATTGATACTATACCATTGTAATGAAAATCATATCTTATCAGTGAAATGCCCCATATACATGTATAACGTTAACATGGGGAGGTTTGCTACGGTTATCGGTTACCACAATTTAATGATTCCGGAAAAGACGTGTGGAAAGACAGCCAGTTACGGAGGCAGAGTGAACCGCCATAGATAAGATATTCAGCTCATTTAAAGTAGCTAAGTCTCTAACTCAATATCATCCAAAATCTTCGACATTGAAAACACGATTTATTTGTCGGTTTAAATCAACATTGATGTTGTGATCTAACCGGGAAAAGATGGCCTCCTGATATCCAATATTTAAGACAAAATAAACATTTTACAATTGATACACGAATCGTGTACCACAATACGTTTCATCGCTATTTGTAATAAGGGACTCTAAAAACGAGGCTAGGCATATTCCACAAGTCATGTCAAACGGTGACGCTATATTCTTATCTGGAGAACAAGCCCAACAAATAATATCGGCGTAGACTGGAATAACCAGACGCTAGAGATTGAAATTCGATTGAGAATACTGGCGTATTTCGCCGAACCTAACTGATTAAAAATCACAGTAAAAACAGAAACGATTGAATGTAAATCAATTTCTATACATTCATATTACATTATTGCATGTGTTGCGACCCATTTGTGTCAATTTCTAGGTCCCAAGTATTCGCGACTTAGCTCCTTTAAAGATGTATTATGTAAGAGCTAAATCGGCCTATTGCAGGTCTTTTTGTGGCCTTAAATGTTACATAAATTATTAATTGGACATTTATTAACTTACCAAGACCATAATTAACTGTCGATGCCGTCGGATGCTATAGATTTTCAATAGATTTAAATATGATTTGCAGTTAATGATTTAATTTAAAAGTGGATAATCGAAACTTTGTTTTTTATCGTAACAACGATAGCAATGACACTCTTAACTACACTGTTCTGTAATCGACTATAACGCCACTCAGAATGAAGTAATTTGACTGAAAATTTAAACATATTCCCTTTTCATTATCCATGTTTTAACTATTATAGCGAGACCTGCCAGCTCTTTATCTAAATCTTACATAATGAATTTTTATTGAATTCACAATTCCTTTGAGGACGAAAAGTTGCTATATCGAAAGGACTCTTAGAGGATATCAGTTCGAAACTGACTGCTATAAGATCAGAAAATAAGAAAGACAGTGCTTCTTGATTACATTTGTGCTCATATTATAAACGATAGGTACAGTCTATTCAGATATAAATAATACAGTCTACAACGATTTATAATTCTATAACATAATTAAACTACTACACAGTGAAAACTGGTTGCAATTAAAAACACACAGATTTCGATAAACTACTCCTTACAAATATTCTCTAGTCCGATTCAAATTTTTAACTGATGTTCAGAATGAATATAAATCTTGGTCTACAATGAATACGTATAAATGGACAGCTATAATGTGGTTTATTCATTAATTAAGATATACTAGACGATAATATTTTGGAAAATTTACACTTCATTACCTGTAAACACGCTAAAAAATATGTAATTATACTGGAGGTGTTAAGAGTAATTAATTAAGACATAATATACAATAATATTTTGGAACATATAAATTTGCTACGAGTAAACACTCTGCAATACGTTATACATGCTTTACAAATGGGTTGCCCGTCCAACATCGTGGGTTTACTTCCGGGTCCTCCGGTTTCCTCCCACTGCTGAAGACCCCTGCGCACAAACGAATTATTGAAATAAAATTAAAACCATATGTTAGTCCCAAAATGACCTAGTCTGTGTCGAGTGGACGTTAAACCCCATCTCTCTCCCTCTCTCTCGCTTTACAAATGAGATTATAACACCAAATGTAGTGATATTTTACAAAAACGCCCAGTGTACAATTGACATTGTATAGGATTAAACGAAATATAACTCTTGTACGGGTGTAGATCATCCAAAACAGACATTAATATCCACTACTCAGTAGTCATTAATTTTGATTACATTTATTATGTGAAGCTCTTTTAGTGGGTTGCACTTGTGGAAAAATTACATTTATAAAAAAGAAAACAACACTTGCGTTGCTCACCCATTACAGCATTTGACGTCTGCAATAACACAATGTCGGATGTTGCTGAATATCGAATACATTTATTGGGTCTATTTCATTTAGTGAGTTATAGTTGTGGGAACGTTAAATTTTAAAAGTTCGCCATGCAGAGCGTGGAAATAAGCCCGCAGAGGTGTTACACTATTAGTTCTTCAGGTTCTTGATGACAATACTGGTTTTATTTCATACATGTATTATTATTCTTCGAAACATATAATGCAAAAGACTACTTAGTTAACGACTTCTTAGTTAGCTTGTCTTGAGGGGGCCCTGGTGCTAACTTTGATCCCTGGCCTGGACTTTGTCTGGTCTGAGTCTGGATTCAAAACCTATTCCCAACTAAATCATGTTGTCCGTGCTCTGGTCTTAACTTAACTTCTTACTGACCAACTTCCTGATCCCTTCTTTATACCTTTGTGCCATTGTCAGATGTCAAGATTGTACAGCTGGGCTGTTACATAATGCCAGATTAAGCTTTCTGCAAAAATTACCTTGCAAGAAACGGACACTACATAACTCAACTAAATGTCATAAATGACAGCTGACATGATAAGGATATTTAATTAAATACCGCGTTCATGTGTCAAAGGTGGCAAATGATGAACGTTTCTCATATCCGCTGTGGGGGGGGGGGGGGCGAATGGTTAGCGCGTGTGCGTTGAATAACAAGGTCTGTCATTGAGTCAACCCAGTTTCGATTCCCCGATTGGTTGTACGTGACAAGGAGTAGGGTCGCCTGTCCATCCTCGTGGGTTGTTTTCTCCGGGTCCTCTAGTTTCATCGCACTGCTAAGGATCCCTACGCGCAAGTGAATTATTGAAATGTTAGTCCCAAATGACCTAGTTTGTGTCGAGTGCACGTTACCCACCCCCCTCTCTCTCTCTCTCTCTCTCAACTAGGGTGGTTTCGATTCCCCGGTCGTGCGTGACAAGGAGTAGAGTCTCCTGTCCAACCGTGTGTTAGCTCTGAAATGACCTAGTTTTTGTCGAATGGACATTAAACCCCATCCAACTGGGCTAATGAAAGCGGGCATACGCCAGTGTGCTATGAGGGAAATTATATCGAATTCCAACTGCCAAGTTGATATTTTACGTACATGCAAAATGTGTACAAGGGGCCCCGGCTTTTTTGCCCTACCCGAACGACTATACGCTGTCCCTTGCCAGACCTTCAGTCCTGCACCACTGCCAAGGAGGAATCCAAATGAAAAAATGAAATGAACTTTCTCGGCCAATTCAGGGATCGAACCGGGTAGATTTCATATAAAAAAATGGCGATATATAACTTATTTTGGTAATATCAATTTTGATTGCACATTGTAATTATACTATTTATCTATTGTCTAGATGATGTCGGTTGTATTTTATGTTTTGTTGATATTTATCAGTATAATTATAGGTAAGTAATTTTTTAAATTACTAATTACAATAGAAAGATAAATTACTTGAAAGATGTTTAATTCTTTTAAATAAAATAAAACCAAGTACGAACAATCCAAACCATTGGACAAAATTCGAAGTCCTAACAAAAAACGGTGTAGGCAAAATGTAATTAACTGGGGTGGTAGGAGTTATGGGGTACGCCTGTGTTTGGTGTGGATATTTATCAGTATAAATTCAGGTGAGTGAATTATAATATATAAATAAATTATAATAAATAGTTAAATTACTTGAATTAAGCAAAATATGAAAATAGTTTTAAAGATGTTTAATGCGTTTGAATGTAAATAATCTAGGTTTAAAGATATGTTCCTTCGAACGTAACTAGGACATCGTTTCGATGCACAAAACATGTTTTTGTATCTCTAATATAATTACAATTGAACGACTTAAGATTAAATTATGAACCCAATTGATGAATCAATACAACCCCTACAAATTTGTATAATGTATTCATTTATAAGAGCCTGAAACTGCAAATATATTTCTATAAATGTATAATACAAATCTGTATAGAATAGGTTCAGTAAATCTGAATCTTCTAGGATATAATTCACTCAAGACTAGACAGAATCTCACGAAATATGAATTGGTCTATATCTAATGTAAGACCTTTGTAGAATTTTTGCTCTTTTAGTTAATAGCATTATTCTCCATTGTCAGTATATTCGCTATGGTATGCGTATATTTAAAACGCAAATTAAATTGTTCATGAAATAGTGTGAGAATAACAGGAAAGGGGGTCTAAGTTCAAGGACAGATTCTGTGTCTAAAAACATGTGATCGGAAAATTACGATTTCATCATTTGGCTTATTTAACCAATCTCTATAATCATTTACATCATATTTGACCAATTAGATAATTGAAGATCCAAAACCCAAAGCTACAAAACTATCATATTTGTGGGTGATCCAACGCCGGATTAACCATGGTGGGGGCCCTGGGGCCTGGAACATGTGGGGGCCCCTGATCACCGACCGCAGAGCTGTGGCCGGGCCGGCCACCGCGAGCGCCAAAGTCGCGAAGCCCCGCAAGGGGGTCTCCCCCCGGGAATTTTTCAGAAATTGGAGGCCGGAAACGTGATTTCCTGGCATTTCAGGCACTTGTGTGGAGCCGTTTAGAAGTACCTACCCCAGAAAAAAATAAAATTCTGCCACAAAATTAGCGCATTCTGGCGTTATTTCAGTGGACCAATCAATGCGAGTGCTATGAAATGATGACATTTCTAGAGGAGGGGGCTGGACGCAACTGAGATTTTTGTGGGGGGCCCTCTAATGTGGGGGGCCCTGGGGCCTGTGCCCCATGGTTAATCCGGCGTTAGGGTGATCGTAAGATAGTAGCTTGATTCTGGAAGGGAAGAGATGTAGCAATTTCTATCAGCAGACTCGTCCTAGCTAGTCTGGCTGGATAGGGTTTGAGATAATGACTTTATTATTGCAATCTATTGTAAAGTATGCTTATATGTCTCCAGCTATGAGATATAAAATGTAAAAACGAACTGTTGCATTGTTATTCCTGGTAAGTCAAGCGTCTTAACTACTGAGAAGACAAACGTCTTAACTATTTAGCTAAGAAGAAGAGAATACACAACGTGAAGGGGAAGCAAAGACGACAAGTAAAAATACTAGACGATCACACGGCTACTAAGATGTGTAGTAAGAAAAGATGCATGGGTCATACGCAGGATGTGGCGACCGGTTTTAGCATTTTCTCCACTCTCCACATCTGACAGAAAGAGTCATGGTGCTACACTAATACCTTAATGTTTAACCTAAAAAATACTTCCAGAAAACAGAATATTTATAAATTTTAAGTCAATAAAGAGCCATAATTCGGTAAATATTGAAAGGAATGAAACCCACAGGAAGAGGAATCTGATCTGTTACTCTTCTATATTTAGCAGAGTACAAACCTTCAATCAAATAATGGGAATACATTCGTCTTAAACTACATTAAAACCCTAATTTCCACAAAGGTTTTGACAACGCGGCACTAGAGGGTTCGAATTTTACTTGGAATACATATATATATCTTCACTGTTTTATCATTTATTGCAGAATAATCAAAATTCTGTTATATAGTTGATATATTTTAATTTTAATCTTGAATAGACTTGCTCCTGTCAGTGCATTTTCAAAACTGAATATGAATATTATGCAATTTCATTTCTATCAATTTTTGTCTATTCTGTAAAATTTCAACCATTCCTGCCTCAGTCAATATTGTCTGAATTTCATTGAACTACATGTAGTTAAATTATTTCTTTCCGTTTCTGTAATGGCTAATGATAGTAATTGTTTAGCATTTCTAGTATATGATTTGAGCCATATTTTGATCATCCTAAATTTGACGTCAATGCGTATTCGAGAATACCGCTCTAGTTCGATGATTACTTCTGGTGTGAACATTTGACATTGAATTCTTCAGATTTAAATAAAAGTTAATTAAAGGTTATAAAGCCACCATAAGCTTCACGTGCGTATACTGTAAAATGTTTATATATAAGTCATTCAATAATTATGTGGTACAACATTAATGTGTGAAAAGGCCGAAACTAACTTCGAATACAAAGTCAATGATTTATTAATCAGTAATTACGTTTATTAAGGGAACCAAACGATTGTAGTATAATAAATAAATATTTGGACCATTTCGACTACACCCCATTTCGACTACAAATTTTATTACCCTCAAAATCCCGAACCCCAACTAATTATCAGCATTGAACTGTTCCACTGATTAAGAGATGTAATTAAGGTAATGATTATTGTTAAAATAGCTTATTCATTATATCTTATAGCTTGTTTTCCTTAACATCAAAGCAAAAATATCAACGCCAAGTGTACATTTTTGTTTTGACAAATATTTGTCATATTTGGAGATTACATTGAGTTTAATACTTGCTTATCTATATCAGATGAATTGTTTAAAATTTTGTATATTTATTCTTCAAGTTCACTATCATTCATTCAAAATTTTTGTTATCTTATTAGAATTCCTTTATAACAAATATGGTGTTTATCTTCAAATTCGGGAATAGAAGTAGAAATATTTGTTTATTTATTCATTAACAATAACTTTGTATAGAAGAAATAATTAATTTTTCATTCTTTTTTCTGTTTATTTTGATGTTATCTGTTATTCGCTGTAGCCTAAATTATGGAAGAATCTATTTTAGCTATAGAGAGGGTATATACATGTAAGTAGGGATACTAAAACCACCAGACCATATAATCTGTTGTTATAAACTGTAGTCGAAATGGGAAGTAGGCAAAATGGGAGGGGGAGCGAGAGAAATGGGGTTTAACGTCCACTCGACACAAACTAGGTCATTTCGGGACTAACATATGGTTCAATTTTATTTCCATAATTCGCTTGCGCGTAGGGGTCTTTAGCAGTGGGAGGAAACCGGAGGACACGGAACAAACCCTCGATATTGGGCAGGTGATTCTACTGCTTGTCACGTACAAGATCGGAGTCGAAACCACGCCACTTGACTCAATGACAGACCTTATTATCTAAAACGCACGCGTTAAACTGTTCATACCATTAGATTGATGTTATATATAAATGTTTATTTGATACATGTTTATATTTTACAGTCATGAGTACTGTCAGTGGCGTATATCTTCCAATTATAAAGTTATTCGATTTGAAGTGATTGATTCCGATTTAGGGCCTAAACCTGCCTATGGCGACGAAGATTATGCCAAGGTCTATGACGGTAAGCAACGAACATCTCATGAAAGCACTGATTTTAATATGTTTCTAATAAGAGTACATTTCGCATTGTAATATTGATCCCCTTCATATACTATTCAAAAAAAGTAGGGGATATTTGTTTTTAAGTGTTATTAAAGTCACCTAATGAAACTGACGAAGAAACAAATGACAAAATGAAATGAAGTTCACATTCATCGATTTATTCCAAATGATCGTTAGACTAAGTAAGGCACAGACTGACCATTATAAGGGTAAAATGATACCCGTTGTCAAACAGCAAAGTTACCACAGCATCACAACCAAGTCAGTAACGGGTAAATCCTCCTCTGTTTGCCAAACAAGCATTGATCCGACGTGGCATACTCCTAATGAGACGTCTAAGGTCATTTTGGTCCAGATTGTCCCATTCCTGTTGCAACGCAGCAGCAAGTTCTTGGACATTGGCAGGACGTTGTTGACGTTGACGTAACCTCTGTCCAAGCATGTCCCAGACATGCTCGATGGGGGAGAGGTCGGGACTCAGTGCTGGCCAAGGTAATGTGGTGATGTTCTGTTGTTGGAGGTAACCTGTAACGATCCTGGCCCTGTGACATCTTGCGTTGTCATCCTGGAAGATGAAACGGCGGCCATGACGTCGTGCAAACGGCACAACATGGACTGCCAAGATGTTGTCCCGGTAGTACTGGCCTGTAACACGCCCTGCAACAACATGTAAAGCCGTTCTTCCAGCAACAGTGATGCCTCCCCACACCATAACAGAACCACCCCCAAATCGATCATGTCTGATGACGTTAACGTCTTGGAAGCGCTCGTTTCGACGACGCCACACCCTCCTACGTCTGTCCAAAGAATCAACAGTGAACCTTGACTCATCTGAAAACATCACATTGCTCCAGCGTCGATTATCCCAGTGTTGACGATCCCTACACCAACGACGTCTTGCCTGAATGTGATGATCTCTCAAACAAGAGATCACGCGAGGACGTCGGGCGCGAAGGTGACCCCTATGCAGTCGATTCCGAATCGTCTGGCCACTCACTCTCACACCAGTGTCTGTTTGAAGACGAGCGCTGATCTGATTTGCTGTGATGACACGATTTCTCAAGGCCAAGGTACGGATAAATCGATCCTGGGCTTGAGTTGTCGCCCTTGGTCGACCTGAGCGTGGTCTGTCCTGTACAGATTGTGTATCACGGTATCTGGACCATAGCCTGCTTATGACAGACTGAGAAACATTCATCGTCCGCGCCACAACCGCCTGTGTTGTGCCGATCTGTAGCATGCCAAGGGCACGTAACCTTTCATTTTGGGTAAGCCGACGCATATCAAAATTTGTTTTCTGGTCACTAAAACAATTAAACTGATGTTTCCACCCTGGAATTCAATGCCACAATGACTGTAACATTCAAAGTCAGAGTCGTGCAAATCTTGGGTTGGACCCCCATGATGATCCCAAGCATCACATGCATTCCATGCGGTAGCTATTGGTGCGTTTGGGCGTCACATGTAACTGGAAATGTTTCTTCTGTTAGGTTCTAAAGTGACTTTTTTCGTAGTCATTTGCATATTTTAGTATTATGCCCCCAAAATCAAATATCCCCTACTTTTTTGAATAGTATATATTGAAATTTTAGATATTCATATGTTTGTATCAAATATTAAGTTTTCCACTTATTTTACATTTCAAATTCTGTTAAATAAAATGTTATTTTATTGTCCCTGTTTCGTTTAATTTTGGATGTTTTACGGCATTTTAACGCAAACTCGCCTACAAACAAACTTGTCAACACGAAAAGTCTATTCAGGTCGTCCACAAATATCAAAATACATTGGTTGAGTCGCCCACACGGCATTGGTTGACTCGCCCTGCCACTCGTGACGTCTAAGTTTGTTACTGGCGATAAAACTGACGGCAACTCGAAATCGGCGACTGGTTACGATCAAGTGGAACTGATCAGTCGTAACTACCTGGGCGACCTGGGCACGCTTACGACTGGTCTAAATCGGAGGGATTTCTCGGGCCATTGCTTCAGAAATATGTCCCTCATTATACAATCGTACGATGGACTCGGGTATATAATCTGGTCAGGCTACTACTACTACTCTTACTATGTCTATTTATGAAGTAAACAGTGAGGTATTTGGTTGATTTTTTCTCAGGCATTACTAATTTAATAAGCTTAAAAACCAATCTGTTTAAGAAAAAAAACATGCCAATACCACACACTGTTCGGATAAATGAACACTAGGACGAGCGTACCCCTTTTATTACAGTAATAATAGTGCGTGATGTGGAACTCGCCTCTTTCAGCATGGCCGTCGCCATTTTGAAGGTTATCACGTGGCAGTCATGTGATCAGTTGTGGCTCCAATTCTACGCCGGACGACATGTGAGCGCTTACGACTATAATCAGCTGGTTGCTCTGATTGCGTCCAGTCGTGGTGGATAAATTCAGTCGTAGCGACATAAGCTCTCAGTGGCCGTCAGTTGTTGTTAGTTGCCGTCAGTTTCGTCCCGTCGTATAGGGCGACATAAGTATTTAGAAATACAATATATCACTCCGCAGTTTAACCGAAAACCGTCTAACGGTAAATTTGATAACCCCCGTAAATATACACGGTTATTGTTCATAGTGAGTAGGTCCCTATACATTTTATAAAGAACACATTTTGTCACGATTCCATTTGAAATTCATGGCGAATATGGAATTATCCGATGACTATGCATAAGAATAGATCGCTATCATTTCTCCGCCATTCAAAGCTTGTGAATTCTATTACCACATCCGATTTCATGCCATGTTAAGGCATTGTACACTACGGACGTATTAACATAGGTTAGATTTGGCTCAAAAATTGCACGGGGTTCATGGACATAAATAACACAAACATCTGATAATACGTGGAGTCCCTGATACATTTTGGCAAGCGATTAAGCTGTCAGTGTAAGTGTAAAATACCTTTTTATAAAGAAGATAAACGATGTTAGACATCATGAAATAATCTTGTCATTATTATGTGTTAAATCAACGATCTATACGAGGCTACTTTATTACAAAAACATTGGTGAACTAATCTCGGCAGTGATCGGTCAATCAAGCTTACCGATTGTTGGGTAAATAAAACAATAATAAACAATTGTTAAGTAAAACTTATTTATTCCATATAATTAACGAGTGTACGAATCAACTGGTAGTTGTAGACGACATAACAAATACCTTGTGGAGGACTTGGCCAATGGTTTTGAACGAGCTTAAAACTGGCAACACCCACACACACCCCACCCGTCCTCTCCCCTGCACACTACTGGTTTTAAGTAACAGATACTGTAAGTAATATCTTTTTTCTAGGTTATGATAGATATCGCAACCTTTTGGGTAAACTGAACAGTACATATGCACCGACATTATTCAGCTCTGGTTCCTATCTTTATATTGAATTTTTATCCAATTCGAATGGTGGTTATAAAGGGTTTAAAGTAAAATATTTCACGATGTCAGATATTGTACCAGGGGAAGGTAGCTCATCAAGTAAGTTCACATTGATTTTTTTGAATGGCATTTTAGCAATTATAGAAGTGTTAAATTCAGCTTTTTATCATTAAAAAACTAATTTCATCAGCGCTAAACAAAGTACTTTTCACTTACTATTTAATTCTGGACGTATATTGTCGTCACTCCAGTGATTGTTTTGCAAAACACGTTAGAATTTGTGTTTTCAATGGTATGAGGGGGAACTCTATAGAAATTCATAGTAGCGTATCGATTTTATAACCTTATTATTCCAGATCAGATAGTCAAACATATACCCTGCCTTGGTAATCACGACGATATATGTATGGAAATTTGAAAAAAAATGTACTTTTCTGTGATTATTTCAGAAGAACCTGGGATTTTAGGTGGAATAATTGGCGTCGTTACATTGTTGGGTATCTTTATATTTGTATTCATATGTATTTTCTGGATGGATAGAAAAAACAAAATCCTGAGACAATCGCGATTGAACAGCCAAAGTGTCCACTTTAACACTTCCAATAATACCGTATTTGTTGTTCCACCAGTTTATGATGCAAACAGTAAGTACTTGAAATATATGTAATAGACTATTATAGACTCGATTGGTCATTTGCATTTTCGCTAAACTATCAAAATTCTGACGGCTTAAAAGCTAGATATATACCTAGATTTATCTTTTAACATTTAAACTTACATTATGCAAGAGCTAAATCTGCCAATTGCAGGTCTTTCTTTAGGCCTGAAATGTTATCTAAATTATTAATTAGACATTAATTAACTTATCCAGGCCCTACTCGATTCTCAATGCCATCGTTAGTCTGCGATATTTACTGGATTAGAATCCGATCTGCTGCCCAACGCTCATTGATGATTAAATCAAAAAATGGATAATCAAGATTATGTTTTTTTTATCGTACCGACTTGAGTAATGACGATCGAGGCTAGGCCAAAAATTCAATCGCTAAATTCTCGGTTCAGGGTGGATCAATTTGACTGAAATTTTCAGCAAATCCCCTTTGCATTATCTAGTTTTTAATTATTATAGTGAGAACTGACAGCTCTTTATCTAATCTCCCATAATGTATCTTGAATTAAGAAAACAGATTATCAACGCTAGATAATCTCCTGGCTTAGATTCAATCGGATTTAAACCGACCCATTAGATTTCCCCGCTACCAGTAGCATAGACCGATAAAATTTCAATTAATCAAGACTCTGTAAATACTGAACGGAATTGAGCCATTCTTCGACAGATATTCCTATTAAAGATTACACGTGCACAATATTGTAGTTTACATGACTGACATTAATTAAAAGTTCATTTCCACTGCTGTTCCTTGGTGATGTTAGAGGAGGTGCAGTGGCTCAGTGAGTAAGTAGTTGACTAGCTAAGCTAGGGGTACCGTGTTCTATTCCGGTGTTGGCGGAGGGCTTGACAAGGGACAATTTATAGTCGTTCGGATGGGGCATAACACCGAGGCCCTGTCTACACATTGATGTGCACGGGGGAAAAACCCTTAGCAGTGGGAATTCGACATTAGAGTAGGTCGTCGGGCCGTCTTCATTAGCCGAATCGGAGCAGAGTAATAGGACGTTAAACCCCATTTCATTTCATTTCATTTTGACTATGCTAAATTGCTTATTGAAATATAGTTTGTAAAATTATGACGATTAACTACGACGCCTAATACAATAAAAAGATATTTTCTTTTTTTATATAACAAATTTATGCCACTGCTTAGCTAAGTACGAGCGCACTATAGACCAGGAACCGAGCATGATGTCATCATCGCCATCTTGGAATTGTGACACCATATCAAAAATGGAAGTCCGTCAATCAATGTGCGATTGTACCAGTAACAAGCATACGCGAAGATGCAGAAAACATCAAAAATGTTTAAACCACTGCTTTAATAATAGAACAATCCCAGAAGTAAAATACAAACTATGTATATTTATATTCTATATTATAGATACGTCATCACCCCCACCATCTAATCCAGAATATAATATCGCAGCACCTTACTATCCTGGAAACATACCCTCAGTACCACCACCACCTTATTCCGAATTACCAGCCTATGAAGACTCAGCCAAATATGAAATACCTGAAACTAGAAGCCACCCAGAGCAAAATCCGGTACCAGAACCACAACGGCAGATAGCAAGGGAGTAGTAGAGGACAGAGGTACCTCTTGGCTACGGATTGGACCTAATCAGTGTTGATGCATTGTTCTATCCTACATGTATAAATAGAATATCTATTGTTTTCTGAACAATGGAATAAGAATGATAGCTAAATATCTATTGTGTTAAGATGTCAGGTGGCTGTCCTAAGATTGACCTGCGTTCGTGTTGCATCATAAGGTCATAAGGGCGCCTGTCCAACCTCGCGGGTTTTCTCTGAGTTCTCTGGTTTCTTCAGTCCCAAAATGACTTAGTTTGATGTCGAGTGGACGTTAAACCCCATTTCTCTCTCGTAGGTTTCCTTCCAGTGCTAACGATCCCAACGAGCAAGCGAATTAATGAAATAAAATTAAACCACACTTTAGTCACAAAATGGCTAAGTTCCATGTCGAGTGGACGTGAACCCCCATTTCTCTTTCATGGGTTTCCATCGCGTATTCCGGTGTCTCCCCTCACTGCTAATTGAAATATAATTGTGTCATATGTTAGTCCCGAAATGGCTTAGTTTGATGTCGAGTGGTGGTTAAACCCTATCTCTCTCTAGTATCACATAACTGTGCATTGGTTTATATCAGAGGATTTGGGACGAACTAGAATAGACAAATGGAGTCAGTTAATACATCATTATGTAAAATAAGGTTAGTTTATAGTGATATCGTCTAATTTCAAGCGAAGTAAACCCTTGATTCAATATACAATAGATCATAAGATGTAACTCTCACTAATCCAGTGATTGTTCTAAGGACATCAAGATTTACGTTTTCAGGTACAGTGCCTTCGTTTTTAGTACAATTATTTCAGATTACGTCCACGTAGTCGAATAATGGTAATATAAAAGCTTTGTATATTGTTTCTAGGGACCTTCTGCTTAAATACTTTAAACGTCTATAACATTAAATTTGGTTTATTCCCACGAAGGCGCAGTTATTGACAGTAGGTCGTTTTCGACGCCTTCGTGGGAATCCAGCTCCTAGGGATTAAAATTGATTAAAAACGTAACAATGGTGTTATAGATTGTTATGATAAGAATTTACACTTTAAATAGTACCCAATGTAACTAATTAACCAAGATTTTAGCATCGTTTTTGGAATAAGAAATACAAATATAACTACACTATAACAAAAATTAATTTAATTTCGCCAAATATGACACCCTGTCTAAATACTCGACTAAAATCTATTCCTCTTTCTCGTGTCTTCCTTTTAATTTCTGAAGCGGGCTTTGGATTTGAGCATATTTATATCTTTTTCTTGGTGGTTCCTTTCCCCTAGCATACTGAACGATTCTAATCGCATTAATATTTTGTTCTTGTTGTAAAAATGTGATCATTTCAAAAACATTCGGATGGGCTTTTCCTACTAGCTTCTTGATTCTTGCATGCCATCCTTCCAGAGTGCTGTTGATTCTGTGCTCCCCTGTGTCGTAGTGGTCCCACTGATATCGTCCTCCGCGACTTGTAGGTACAAAGCTGAATTTCGGTTGTTGTTGTTGTTGTTTATTACAAATTTAACGTCCAATACATAATGTATTATATTATGGACAGGTTGATTTAATTAAGTTATTTACATCTGAATGAGTAAAATATAGAAGTTAGGTAAAAGCACTAAATAATAAAAAGTTCTTGTATATCTAAACGTCACTTTAAAACAGATTTAAAATGATTAAAAGTTCTTGTATATCTAAAAATCACTTTAAAACACGGTTTTAAAAATGGTTTTAAAATCGTTGTCGCGGAAAGAGAGGGCGGGTCATCTTCTCACTTTGTCATAATGAAAGTTAAAATGGGAGATCCAGCTGTTTGATGCCATCGCAGCGGATCGAAAAAACCTTGTGGGAAAAAGAATCCACTGTTTAATGTGGAAAAGCGAAGTTCTCGCAGTGAAAACCACATAGCTGGATCCGTGGAGTATTTACATATGAATATGGCCGTGTGGTTCTTTCCATATTATAAAAGTTAGTTAAAACAAATCCTTTAGCACAGAATTTCGGATAGTGTAACGGAATTTTATACATCTTTAAATATGACACTGATTGAGAGTGATTTGATGATATTCATCATTCAATTGGTGATTAAGATTCATATTGAATACTTGGATAATTTAATGATTTTAATCATTAGTTGCCAATTGGTGAATAAAATTCAGAGTGATCATAAATTCATAAAATCTTTAACACCGTTAATTAGGTCCTAATAACAACATGCCCCTCTTCAAACGAAAGCCGACATCTGCGCCTTCGTGGGAAGGATTAATTTTGGTCACGCTCTGTAACTGCGCCTTCGTGGGAATACACCTTAAATTTAATAAGTACTTTAATAACGGTATAATTATTATGAGCATCCCCATTACAATTATTACTTCTTATGTTCTTTGCTATCAGTTATTTTATGTATGTATTTAAAATGAAAGTTCCGTAATCTATAGTTACCGCTTATTTTTGCTCAAATTGAATATGCGCGAGATTTCCATTTCATCTAAAATAAAAATTATTCTCTTTTTCCCCATGTATTTCTTGATTATGGTTTGGTAGATTCAACTCGTGAGTAAATGCCCTTTTATAAATCTGATCCCATATGTTTATACATAAACATTTGAAATATATGTATATATAATATTTTGGTTGATATTGTCAGAAAACATTTCTGTTTTGTATTATCTGTGCAAACTCATGGTTGATTGTATTCACGAAATGCTTTATTACTATTCTTTACTCTATTAATTAAAACATCTTTTTTGCAACCAGCCAAAAATACAACATTATCATTCATTAGTTCTATATATTACTTCAATGCAACTTCTATTAGTTAATTGAATTGTGAAGTTTAAGAAATTTAATCGTCGATTATAAACATTCAGAGAGAGAGAGAGAGAGAGAGAGAGAGAGAGAGATGGGTTAAAGTCCACTCGACACAAACTAGGTCGTTTCGGGACTAACATATGGTTTAATTTTATTTCAATAATTCGCTTGCGCGTAGGGGTCTTTAGCAGTGGGAGGAAACCGGATATACATTCAGACCTAGAACATAAAAAAATTCATTATCGCAGTTTAAAAGTTGTCTTTGATATCACCGTCAGATTCAAATAATATTCTCTAGATAAACAGCTGATCTCTAACACAATAGATAATTTACCTATCATTCATATTTCATTATTCAGAGAACAATAGATACTCTATTTATACAACAAAACTATGCGTCAACACTGATTAGGTCCAATCCGTAACCAAGTTCAACCCCTACTACTCAAGGTATCCACAACAGTTCAGCGTACGAAGGCGTAACGATTCAACCCAGTCCATAGGCAGCCAAGAAGTCTTAGCTTTTATAGTAGACGAAAGGGAAGTGACAGGCATTGACAATCAAATCAATCACCCAAATTATTCCATTCCACTATATCTTAACAATTCGTCCAAGTTTTATATGGATTTGTAAATTAAAACATATCTTCCTTGTATAAATCAGCGAAAATCCTTTAAATCCAAAGATGTGTTTTTATGTAGAAAATATTATTTAAAGAAATTGTTGAATACACGTATTTGCATAATAGTTAACATGTAAATGTAATTATTCTGTTTGTAAGGTCAGCTTTCAGAAACCTGTCTATATCTCTGTTAAATGCCCTATACATTAATAAACTGCGTTATATGATGGGTTTTATCTTGCATAACTATTTGACTTTATCAAACACAATATTGTTGATTATACGTATTTGCATAATAGTGAAGGGGTGAATTTAAATATTTTGAAAGGAATCGCATGTTTAAATACTTTTCGCCGATAAATTTTGGAATTTGTTGGTCTGCATTACATTAAAGATGCATTATGTAAGAGATAAATCTGTCCATTGAAGGTTTTTATTTGGGCTTCAAATGTTATATAAATTATTATTTAGACATTTATTATTCACATGGCAAGGCTATAAGAAACTCTCTAGATCATCAGATGGGGGGAAACTAAAACAGATTGAAACTTAAAAATTGAGAAGGGAGGCTGAATTGCGATAAACAATTAACGTTGCTACGATAGTAAACAATCTGCGCTACATCTTCCAACAACCATGCTTCGCTCAGAATAAAGTAATTTAAATGAAATTTTCAACCATTATCTATTTTTGAACTATTATAGCAAGAACGACGTCCTCTGTGTCTAAATATATATGTAGGATTTATTCCCGCATAAATATTTGACTTTTATCAAACAGAAAATACACATTATGTAGATCGATAATAGCCGTTGTTGGAGTTATTACCAGAACTGACAGGAATCATTTACGGCCAGGTTCTAATTCGTAAAACTAATGAAGCGTGGCCCGATTCCCAACAAAACCATGGATTATTCTGTCGAGTGGATCGACTCGAATGAAAAGATATCTATTATGTTACATGTGTTTGTGTACGCCAATAAAACTTTAAAACCTGAGATCCCAATATGCTGATTTGAATACTATTATAGTAATATTTTATTTCCAAGCCCAATATAATGATCAGTGTAATGAACCCCTCCTATTATGATTATTTATTACACTTTCTGTTATTCTAAATAATGACAGGTATGGATCATAACTTGTAGTTGTACTAAGTTTCAAGTTTCAACACAACTCTAGGCAGAAACATTATGCTGTGTCCTCTGTTAGTATTTCTATTACGGACAAATAAACACAATCAAATATATACTTATATATTATATTTTAACTCAAATCATAGAAGTCGTGTCATTTTGGTATTTAAGGTGTATTCAATTTGTTTTCTTCAAGTGAACCAATGAATGTATGTGACCAATGATGAAATAATTTGTCGTTTTTAAAACGTTTGTCATTTTGAGCGTGTTGCTGTAGGGACATTATTAGGTTCAAGACGCAACATTTGTGTTTTAGTGGTTTCATTTATTTTTTAACGACCTGCTATTGTTTTGTTTTGTTATTCCGTTCACGTTACATCATGTTATATGTTTCACCATTGGCCTTGCAGCCTTTGTATATTACAGTATTACAAATATTAAAAAACAAAATATGCATAAAGTTAACTAAGTATATAAGGATAAACTTGTTTATATCGTTAGCTTTTATATTTGGTAATTAATTAAAAAAAAACCGAATTAATCGCCGGAGTTTTGTGATTTATTATATCGTATGATATTCTCTTATTTAGAATTAAGTAGCGAGTGGTGTTTTTCAAAAGAATGGCTTTCTTTTGCCCCCCCCCCCCGCCCGAAGAGGTCGTTGTTTTTGATCAGAGGCGGTGACATTTGTAGGCGAGAATTCATTCGCTCTTGAAATGACTAGATCTAGAATATGTCTACGGTAGGATTAGCAATAGGTTGACGTAGGGTATACATCTGTAACAAATTACTAGAACGTTTCGCAGAAAGGTTCTATGGTCGTCAACGTGACAGTTAAAGTCGCCAACAATTAATAACTCAGGACCAGATGAGGTAAGATTATTTAATAAAGACGAGAAATCATCTTGAAAACATGGGAATTGTTTCTCACTCGGTGCACGATATAGAACAATAATTCTGATTTTCATAGTATGGTTGGTAAAAATGCATTCGATATATTCTAACTAACATGATGTTTTAGTGCGGTAACATTTAATGACGATGTAAATAAAAGGGGCAACACCTCCTCCACACGAGAATCTTGACAGTGTTTTATAAAATAACCACTTGGTAAATATGGAAATCCAAACAGCTCTTTATTTAGTGTTCTTAATTCTTAATTCATAGCCCTTAATTCATAGCCCTTAATTCATATCTCTTCATCTGTTGTATTCCGACATTTATGTACACTAAAATTAACATGTCGTCGTAATGTTCCGGTTCGATGGATTTCGAGAAATGTTTTTGGAGAAATGTTTTGCAAGATTTGTGTTTGGAAATTTGTATTTGGAAATTTGATGTTCGAGATTTGTTTTTCATTGTATGTCTCTGATGAAATGTAAATGCAAGCTATTTTTTTGATTTTCTCAATTAAATTTTATTTTTATACTAGCAGGATACCTTTCTTCGCTCGGGGGTCATAACTCCGGAACCGGGAGTGGTTGACTAACGCCACCTGGCCTATGTTACTCCCCGGTCCGAGCTACTCCTTTACCCCAAATTTCAGACTCGGGGCAGACCTAGTGTAGCCGCTAACCCCGAACAGACCGGCTTCGCTCGGAGGTCATAACTCCGAAACCGGAAGTGGTAGACTAACGCCACCTGGCCTATGTTATTCCCCGGTCCGAGTTACCCCTATACCCCAAATTTCAGACTCGGGGCAGACCTAGAGTAGCCGTCAACCCCGAACAGACAGACAGACAGATACCCAGCTTCGCTCGGGGGTCATAACTCCGAAACCGGAAGTGGTAGATTAGACTGGCCTATGTTACTCCCCGGTCCGAGCTACCCCTATACCCCAAATTTCAGACTCGGGGCAGACCTAGTGTAGCCGCCAACCCCGAACAGACAGACAGCCAGACAAACGACAGTCACAAATATTAGTATAGATTATATTAACTACAATTAAATTAAACAAAGATACAATTTACAAATCTGATATGACAAATGTCTGATTTGTAAAATAAATATTGATTTATAGATACAAATGTTAATTTTTGTGTACAAGTGTCGGAATATGCGACAACAGATGAAGAGATATGAATTAAGGGCTATGAATTAAGAACTAAGAATTAAGAACACCAAATAAAGAGCTGTTTGGTTTTCCATATTTTACAAGTGGTTATTTTATAAAACATGCCAATATCGAAAGCAACCAAGATCGTCAGGAGATAACCCCATCTTTTAAGTTTCGTCAAAATCGGATAAAAATTGTAACCTATTGAGTGACCACAAACACGGACAGGAGCGACGTCAACATACGTCCAAATAAAAATCAGGTGCCATAATCCGGGAAGTTACGGTCTTATATGCGTATAAAAATTATGACCTCTACCTCTAGATGGGGACCACAAGCTAAATACGTGATTTTTCATACAATTGGACATACATTTTAAACAATAGTAATTGTATCCCATATTATGTTTTTCATAGTTAAAATCATAGAAATAAGTTTTTAGCGTGAACTAGGTGGTTTTATTAACCTCTATTGAAAATATCTTTAAATAGTTCGTCGTAAAAAAAATCCTCACTAGAGTAACAGCCTGGGCTGAAAGAACCAGGATATTGCACCTGGTCGTTTAGACAAAACGAGATAGGTAATCGAAACCGATTTGTTTTCTCGTAAAAGAACCCTTTACAAAATATGACCCGTCTCGTTCATATATCCCTTCTACAATGACTTTGCACTTTTTCGCTATGTACACACCTTTCTCGAATTTTAAGACACGCTCTGGTGGATTTACGATCAACAGAATGTTGTCTCAACCAACCAGTTTATATACTCTATTAATAGAGTGATAACCAGGAAAATGTTGACATTTACCTGTAATACGCATTGGTATTGCAAAACACACCTGTTAATCGAACAGGATATGGCTGATAACTTATGTTTACCAAGGTAAGATTTATTGAATATAACCAAATATTTGTAATACAGAATAAAACAAAATAAAAAAGGGCGAAGACTGAACTGGCTTACTAGACCTGTATGTCTGTCCACTACCGAGGCTTAACAGTTTCAGCGAAGTAAGCCGAATGACATATTTATTCTAATATGACCTATATATAATATATACATGGGGATATTTGCTACGGTATCGGTTATCACGGTTTAATGATTCGGAAGGAGGCGCATGAATAGACAGTCAATTATTCACTTAATGATACTGACAATCCCTCCGAAAACGAAATGTTGTTATATATTATTGAGAGGACTTCGAGAGGCTATCAGTTGGTAATGTACTGCTATGGGATCAGAAAAGGGGAGAAAGGTAGGAAAGACAGTGAATTAGAGTCTTGATTACATCCTGGTATAAGTAAATCAAAGTCTGCTACGATTTATTATTTTAAAACATTACACTGTGAAAGGTGGATGCAATTAATAACTATAAGTAGTATAAAACTTAACACCAGGTGTATAAGAGCTACACCTAACCGATAATCATGCCCATTACACACAGATTTCGATGAACTATTCTATACCCTACAGCTATACCACTCTGATTCATATTTAACTAAATATATAATTAGGTTTATTCATTATAAATCACTCTCAAAAAACGTTATATTTGCGGCACAAATGAGACCATAACGCCAAATGTAAAATTGACAATAGGAATATGTCAAAATTAATAATTACACATTTTGGTCAATATAAATAGATCATCCAAAACACCCGTCAGTTTAAACAGTTTTTTTTTTCATTTGAAAATGTCATCAGTCCAGTAGTCATTATTTAGATCATGCATAATGCCTGTTAATGTAATATTACTTTAGTGTAATATGTGCAATGTAACTTACTAGATCGTCTTGGTAACAACTTGCCGTTGTTCATTCACTGCTGTTAAATCGACTGAGGCCACATATCCATTATTTCCTATTTGGTTAAACACAATATTATAGATATGATGGAATGACGTAGTGCGGTAACTATATTGTACCAAAATTTAATTACGTTTTGGTGACCGTGTTCCCCATGTCATAATATGAAATATGGACATCCTCTAACCACTTGGAGAAGAAATGTGGACTGATTTATTTGAAGAAGAAAATAAACAGATACACAAAATAAAGATTTGTCTAATGCCATGCAGTCTAAAATATATACACATTAGCTGGGAACTCTCGGACTTTACCATTAATATAAACATTGGCCAGGAATCCTCAAACTTCAAGAAAATATAAACATTGGTTGGGAATATGCAAACTTCAAGGTAAATATAAACATTGGTTGGGAATATGCAAACTTCCAGATAAATGTAAATATGGGCTGGGAATACTCGACTGGGAAAAATAATCTTCAAGATATAATATATACATTGGCTGGGAATACATCAAGATAAATATAAACATAGCAGGGATTAATCAATCTTCAAGATAAATATAAACATGGGTTGGGAATACTCAAACTTCAAAATAAATAATAATATTACCCAACATTAATTGTTTATTTTGCGGTATTATTGATTGGACACTTTTTGGGTTACCACTATTCATACTTCTATTATATTTTTAATAACCGCAAAAAGTCCTTCGTCGCTTAAAACAAGGTTTCTGAAAATTAAATGAAAAAGAGATAACAAGCACGACATTATTCACCAATGTGATTGATTCTGTTTATAAATTTAAAGATACTACTGGTTTTGTTTTATGTTGTAGATGATGCTGAGCTTATGTTATGTTATACTTATAATCATCAGTGTAGGTGAGTACTGAACCATTTTGCAGGTTTAACCGGATCGGCTTTGAAAATTAGATGATGTTTAATGGCCCACGTAATCGCAACGATCGCTATCAGGGAAATTTTGCCCGAACGGCGGTCTACTTGTAAATTGAGGCTCAACTATCAAGCCAACCTAGTTAAAACACAGATCCTATTTCGTTTCGTTTTTATAGTTCAAAATTTTGTTTTACTTGTCTTTACTACACTTGGATCTGGAAGAGTTGTTATTTAACTCGTTTTCTGATTGGTGTCAGGGATAAGCCAATGAAACGGTCTATCACGGCGAGCTTTAGCCGTGTTTTGCACTGAACTGTGTGTAATCCACTAGTAACATCAATGCTGATTGGTTAATCAAATGTATAACATCATGTCATAGGGTCATAAGTCGGTCTTTTGACCCCTGACGTGACCTATCGCTATAACTTGTCAGATATTCATGTAGTGTAGGCAATCGAAAGTATAAAAAAACGAAACAAAATTTAGATCTGTATTTTAATCAAATTGCTGTCAAGCCAATGTGTGAGCGCGGCCTCGTTTGTTCGTCCAATCCGAACAACCAGACACTGTCCTTGTCACACCCTCCGTCCTACACCACTGACACGGGCGAACCCATCAGGTCCAAAATGCGATCTAAAGTAAAAACCAGAAAATCAAAAGTAATAAAACGTCTACCTTTTCAACTTCAAGTCGTCAGAATTCTACTTTTATCGGCAGAATTTCTAATTCAAGTCACCAATTGCTTTCGCAGAATTTCTCCCAAATTTATTAAACCTACTGGTA